ACCATAAGCTACATTAACATTTTTTTAGTGAACACTTTAATTATTGAAGTAAATACCATATGCTTTTAACAGCAGAAAGTAGGATATTCTAAGTGTGTTTGTCTTCTTTCAATTCTTCACTAAACCTTTTGTATAGTTATTTTCTTCTTAAACTCAGTAATATAGCTGTTTATAGGAACGGAAACAAAGCCGCGATTAAAAACTAGTCACCTTTAATTTATCATCTGTCTGATTACAGGAAAATAATACTAATATTACTCGAACAATGTGTAAGTATTTTACAATTAACAGACAAAGTAACATTGATAGCGATATACGTGTATTAAAAATAAAATTGCGTGTTCAAAGAATTGAATTAAACACAAATTATTGCACTATTTAGTTACACCTGCTGTATTGTTACAACCTATTAAGCTCCCACAGCTGGGGCCAAGTCTGTTCCATAGGATTTTAAAAACTTAGGCCCACCACGCTGCTATCTAGGCAAGGGGCATGGGAGTGATTAGACCTACATTTTATTTTATTCGAACCCGAAACCTCGTGATCGTGTCGTCAAGTGCGCTAACCACAACACCGACCTAGGCAGTTGAAATCTTTTTTTTATCATAGGAGGACAGACAAGCATAAATTGACTTGATGGTAGGTAAAACATCCCGGTCATATAAAGTTTAAACAAGATACGTGGTCGACCGTAGAAATCTGTCAACGGTGGTTCGTGAGCCGGATGGAATTTTGGTAAATTGATGAGAAAAATTTCGGACGTGGCGGGAATCGAATCCGCGACCCGTTGATTATTGACCATCCATTGCAACCATTACATCAACAACAAAGTAAGCCAGATAAACAGCGTATAGATATATATATATATATATAAATTGCGTGTCAAAAGAATTCCATTAAAGAAAAATTATTGAAGTATTTATTTTCACCTGCCGCATAATCAAAATGAATTCAACGGAACCAACCTACCCACCGGGCGCTTTCATCGTTGTTTAATTAATTAATCATTCCTTTAATTTATTAGGCGAGCAATTTTTTTCAAATTATTCTAAAGTTCATCCGCTTCAGTAATTCAGAGGTATCCGCAGTTAACTAAGTTAGCGGGAAAATAACAAAAAACCATAGAGAATAATTTTTTAGAAGGCGTAGGTACAGATAAGCGAAAGGTATAGACCGAAACACCAATCTACACTTCACGGCTCTTTAGTCGATGGTCAGTGGTTCGTGACCGGGGCAGAATTTTAATATTCCTGTTACATTTTATTGCTATGCTCTGTAGAGTGTTAGATCTAGTTGATGCTTAGAAAAATCTAGTTATTTATGAAAATTTTGGACCCGGTGAGAATCGAATAGACGATCTGAATTACATTTTATTTCATTAAATGGCGACTATTACAACGAGTCCGACAACATGTATGACTATGATGTTTATGGATATAAAAGTATATGGTTTAAATAAAACATTTTAACGGTTTTACAACGCGATATATTAGTTAAACTTATTTGGAAATGATTTTTAACTTCGGCCCGACGTTTCGGATGCTTTGCAGCAGCCGTGGTCACGGGGAGACCAAATAAGTTTAACTAATATATCGCGTTTTAAACCGTTAAAGTGTTTTATTTAAATGTGTACTACTCGCGTAAACTATAGACAGTATTTAAAGTATATGGTTTTTATTGATTTAATATAAGTATAAATAAACATTTTTATTTCAAAACATCTGCAGGTAAACGTCATCTCTCACACTTTAATATTTGGGAACTGTTGGGATTAGTAATACGTCCATTTCATTTTGACCTAATGTCTAAATATAGGCTACTCAAAACATGATAAGGGAAAAAAACCGCGTTTAATTCCAAATTTTGAGGAATAGGTATTTTTAGAGAGCTTCGTTAGACACCGACGAGTAAACGCCTACTTGTACCAAAACAAATAAGTAAGTTTGCCCTTGATTGCAAATAAGAGAATAAAATTAATTTGAACGGTTAAAAACTGTAGTATTACACCATGGTGTTATATAAATTAAAAATCGATTTCCCATCGCTAGGTTTCAAACGCGGAATATATTAATTAAAAATAAATAATAAATGAATTATAAAGAAGAAAATTAAATATTTTCAACATACCTTATGATCTTAAGACTCGCAAAAGTTACATTATGAGAAAATCCACGTATGAACGCAGCCTTAGTTAATAAATCTAATGACGTCAGACCACCCACAGATTAATTAAGACATTATAAGATTAAATCAACTGTGGAATCCGCCTTATTAACTTACTCCAAGCGACAAAGCGCTGACGAGACTTGGTGAAATTTTAATATCCAAAATCGTATAGATATAGTAATACTAAAAATATTCTAATAAGAATTTAAAATATACCATTAATATAGAATAAGGCGAATTACATACTATAATCTTGTTGTGCACTATAAATACACGTAGGTATATATAATATTTATTAATTACACTTTACTATGTGTTTTTCTAATAATAATTTAGTATTACGCAAATTGTATTAATAACAATACAAACAATAATAATACCGATAATTAAATTAAATTAAATTTATCCTGTACCTGTTTTACTTGTAAATTTTCATTCAAATCTACACTTTCGGGTTTCGAATCCCGAATCTCTTAACGCAATGCAATTGTTTGTAAAATGTGAAATTAATATATACCTTTCATTTGTTTCAGGTCGAAGTAAGTATGGAACTGTTTCTCATGGTGAGGTGGTATTTTTAAATTTTTAAATAACTTGATACCTTTCCTTATATTATAGTAATCGTTTTTATGCCTTTAATTCAATAGTAAATATACAATAAGCCGTTAAAGATAATTCGGTAGCTATAGAGTAGGTACAGTAGGTATTCTCAAAACTATTTAATTTCATTGGAAAATATTAAAATGATTATACAATGGCATAACGCGTTTACTGTTTGATAAAAAAATTTCTTATTGTAACAAAACCGTTAACTTTCCAAAAACATGTAACGCCAATTAATTAATCACAGTCAAAACTAACAAAAACCAAACTTTCGATAGCCTGTGGTTACTCAAGCGGGTAAGTAGCATTAAATTAAGCGCACAAAAAGTATCACAGATTATGTGAAACCGAGTACCTAGACGGTTTTTTTTACACTAAATACTTCCTTCTATTCAATATTAATGTTGTCTATGCCATTGTTTCAATCACTTTATAGTTTAATAAGCTATTAGTTCTGTATTTTTCACATGGCTATAATTTTTATGATAAGAATTTCTTTCACTTTGATGTTTAATTTTAAATTCCACATAACCTTGACTTCAAAGGTATGATATAAACAAAAAGATGTGTTGTCGGCTAATATTCATTTCGTATGTGTGTTTTCACATTTCATATATATTTATATAAAACTTGCTAATTTCATTGAAATAAAAATTACTTTATTGCCCATCTTTACAATTTCGTATAGATTTTGGTAATAAAAAAATACTTACATGGTAGTATTGCAAATCAGTCATACAACCATACTTATTTTTTTTTAAATAAGATAGTGAGTTTTAACAATATTATTTACATATTTGATAGCTCCTATGAGATATAATATAGATGTTTTTCTTTTTCGCTCGTGATTAGTAGATTCGACGTAAATAGTATTAAATAAAAATAAGAAAAATTTCTGAGCTGGCATTATAAATAAAAACACAGAGGAATAGTTTTATTCTAACCAAATTGTGTGTGCATGTTTTGTGTTACTTGTTTTATGTTTGTTTGCTTTTAAGAACCATATAGAATAGTAGACGATGTATTTAGATTTATTTCAAAGTTAAGACAACAACAAAAAAAGTTAATGAAATATAGATATTTTTTGCTTACAGTATATTTATAAAAGGAGAGTTCCAAAGATACTTTAATTTATATTTCTTTACGTTTAATTTAAATTAAATATTTGCAGTTGAGCTAATCTAAATAAATCATTTTTATAAATTTATAGCGCCCCAAGTTTATTGGGCGTTAAACAATTGTTGACAATTTCCCGCCAAAACTTGCACAGATTAAAGTAAAGATACAGACAACAAATACTGTTCTCGATGGTTCTATTTTGTTTTCAGGTCCTACCGCGTCTACCCGCCAGGCGGTCGGTGCAATATTTTGACCAATTTTAACCCCTGTTAATGATGCATGAATTGGTTAAGATATTGCATCGTCCGCTTGATGGGATATTCGTCGAATGCTGGTCATCTATTTGTTACTCTGTTGCACTAACGTAGGAAATAATCATTAAAAAATGTTTTTTTTTTAAATTAGCTATTATGTTCTTTTCGTGATTTGGATCCAGGGCTTTTTTGCTAGTGAAATTATTTAGGGTACACGAATTTGAGCTATTTTCTAAGTAAGCAATAAAAATGTGACAAGGGGTTCTTTTCGGCCATTCTTTATATTAGATACATAGGTTAGTTAACGCGAGTGGCGATTAAATAAAACACTTACGACGGTTTAAAATGAGACATACTTAATTTATTTAATTATTATTTTGTTTTGGCAGAGGAGGAGTTTCATTTGATGTTAGGTTAATACTCCAGCTATAGATATAACATCTATACAAGATGCGCTATTAACCCACTTTGGCTTTGAATATTCGGAAATCCATATTTTGATTAGAAAATTTTTGTATTCAGTGGGGATCGAACCCACGAGCCGTTGCTTGACCCATACATTGCTACCATACTTCAATTATGATCCGACAATTTTTGAATGTATCGCGTTTTAAACAGTTCACGACGTAAGTGTAGGTACTAAGGTACCTACTATCTTTTATAACAATTAATTGTCCTTTTTTAGTTTATAACTATGTAGTTGATTCGGCTTCGTGTGTTTCTAATATTTGTGCTTCATTGTTTGTTTTGTATTTTTTATGTTTTTTTTATTTATTTACTATTTTGAATTTATTTAATATAGTCTTATGAAAGTTAACAAATAGGTACTAGATAATGTAAAGATCGCGTTTGTTCCAGGTCCTCGAACAAGGAAACCTAAAAAGCCACCTGGAGACACCAATAACGATGAGAAAAGGCCAAGAACCGCTTTCTCTGGACCTCAGCTTGCTAGACTTAAGGTAATGTACTTACTCGTTTCCTACATACCGCCAAGTACCAAACAAAGGGTGGCCAGAGATCTTATCACACCTATAGCTATACTTACATCACTACGTAGTATTAAACAAAGTCGATTTTTCTGTCCCAATGTACGGTTAAATCTTTAAAAGTACGCAACTTATTTTGATGCGGTTTTTAATAGATAGAGTGATTCAAAAGGAAGGTTTTTATATACAACGTTCATAGTTTATCTGTAGTGTATTTGGTATCAGCATTGCACCCGAGTAGTACACATTTAAATAAAACACTTTAATGGTTTAAAACTCGATATATTAGTTAAATTTATTAGAAAATGATTTTTAATAAGCCATGGTCACGGGGAGACTAAGAAAGGTCGGTAGAAGTTAAAAATCATTTCCATATAAGTTTAACTTATATATCGCGTTTTAAACCGTTAAAGTGTTTTGTTTAAATAGTATTATAGTTATTTGAGAGCCATAGAAGTAAAGGCATGAATGAACACATTTCTGTATGTTTCCCTGATCGGTTCTTACAGTAGTTGATCAGACTATGTCGTGCCCGAAGGAACAATCTATTGTCTCCCCTGAACTCGAACCCTGGACCTATCGCGTCTAATACAATGCTAAGCAACACATTTAACAAGTGACAATAATGTCACATCCGTATCAAAACAGTCTTTTCGTCATCACAGCTACAGTATTAAGTACAGTAGTACTTAATACTAAACGAAACGAGTTTAATATGTATGTATAAAAAACGTATTTTGGCCGTTAAAAGTATTGTATTGACGCATTTAGACATCTCGTAATGAAAGTTTCTTAATTTAAATATTTAAACTTCGAACATAGTCTATATACATATTTTAAATAAGTTAAAATAATGCTTAACTAATATATAACGCGTTTTAAACCGTTAAAGTGTTTCATTTAAATGTGTACTACTCGCGTAAACTACAGAATATTTAACAGGTGATTTTAATAAATATTCCTTTTGACAGCACGAGTTCGCGGAGAACCGCTACCTGACCGAGCGACGACGGCAGGCCCTCGCCGCAGAGCTTGGTCTGGCGGAGGCCCAGATCAAGATCTGGTTCCAGAACAAGCGGGCCAAGATCAAGAAGGCTTCGGGGCAGCGGAACCCGCTAGCGCTGCAGCTCATGGCTCAAGGCCTCTACAATCATAGCACAATCCCGCTCACTAAAGAAGAAGAAGAACTGGAAATGAAGGCGAGAGAAAGAGAACAACAGGCTAGACATTAGATTTTCGAATTATATGAGGCTGCTAGAGGCAGAGTGGCCTAATAACAAAATACATGACTTTCAATAAGAAAAATAAAATTACGCAATAGGCGAAAATGAATTTGTACTGTTATTTGAGTAAGAATTATGTTAACAATTTTCGATATGCTCTTGTAGATTAACATATTTAGACCCTTTTAAATAACTTAAGTCATAAAATTAAAGTTAGGCTACTCTGTCTCTTGCGGCCTATCTGTGAAGTGGAACAGATGTTGTATTTTCATTTTAAGATTTTATATTACATACCTCCGAAAAAATAATGTCGATTCTCTAAGTACATGAAATTTGCGTTACGGTATTTCAATCACATTTGAAGTTATTGTTAACAAACAAACAAAAAAATAAAATTCGATTATTCGGGTAATATATGTCCAGATATAGCCTCAAATGAGCAACAATTACCTACAGCTAAATACTGTCTGTAGTTTACGCGAGTGCACATTTAAATGAAACACTTTGACGGTTTAAAACGCGATATATATTAGGTAAACTTATTTGGAAATTATTGTAACTACGGCCCGACGTTTCGTATGCTTTGCAGCAAGTAATATATATCAGGTTTTAAACCGTTATTCGAGCAATTACAGCTATTTATTTAGTATGTACTTGCTACAAATAATATTTTTATAGTCATTTCATTAGCGGAGTCAGAATATGTTTTTAATGTACAAATTAAGTTATGTTAAATAATTAAAGTGACTTTTTAATGTGTAGAAATCTCGAAGTAATGTATAGACAATTGTAAATATGTTCTATGTTTCTATAAACATAAATAGGTACGGTCAGCATAAGTGGCAATAGATAGTAAATTTTAATGATTTAATAATTTCACTTGCTTCATGATTACATGATTCGATTTATTGACATATGACATTATTAAAATTCGCTCTCTAGAACATGACAAAATAAATTAATACATTTATACTATATTAATAAATTTGACGTTTTTTTAAAATACATATTGGCAAAAAAAGGAGCCCTTAATTAATAGAGTGGCATATTCAATACTGTCTGTAGTTTACGCGAGTAATACACATTTAAATAACACACTTTAACGGTTTAAAACGCAAAATCTATTAGTTAAACTTATTTGATAATTATTTTAATTACGGCGCCACGTTTCGGATGCTTTGTAGCAGTCGTGGTCACGGGGAGGTATATATCTCGTTTTGAATCGTTAAAGTGTTTTATTTAAAAATTGTATGTTTGCCATTAATAAAAGGACTTAAAAGAAATGTAGACACAAATTGGAAAAACAGTATCTTTATTTTTTTTGAATTGTTTAAAAGATTCTCATAAAATCCGAAGAGACCCACGTGAATTGTAAATTTTTAGCTGTAGTTAACTAATTTTACTATGTAAATATAGTTAAAGATAAATGTTAGTTAAGTTATTTATTGTGCAATGTAGCAGTATTAGATAGTATATCTTCGGCATCATTATTACTGGTTACAAAGATTTAAGTTAAAAGTACAAATAGAAATTACTTTAACGAAAAAACTCAAGTTTATGTAAAACATCGTTCCATCCGCAAATCGTTACTGAGGTTATGTCTTTTTTCTTATACTTTTTTTGCAGACCCTACCTAGAGTTATTAATTTTGCCGAAGAGTATAAAGTAAGTAGCGATTTCTAGATTGTCCTATTAAATGAAATTGCGAGACAGAATGAGTTTTATTTACTAGCTGTGTCAGTGACTTTGTCCGCGAGAATCGTTATTTTGGGCATCCAAATTCGTTTTTGCAAACCTCTTCACCTTTATAAACTTCAGCTGTTCGACCGGGAGAGCCGGTCGACGGGGAGGAACGCGACCTACGACGTCGGTCGCGTTCCTCCCCGTCGTTCTCGCAAGTTAATTTAAAAATATATAGACATATAGCGTCATGGACTTTTTTTTAGATCATTTAAAAAAGAATCATTCCCTTGTACAAAATTTTTGGGTATCTTAAACCGTTTTTGCAGCGTCTCCTAGGAAGTCCATAATGATGACCAACACGAAAATAATTTTTCAATCCAAACCCGTAGTTCCCGAGGTTAGCGCGTTCAAACAAACACACTATTCAGCTTTATATATTAGTATATATAACATGTATCCCTCTATTATTATTTCTATACTTTCGATATGCAAATACGAAACCTTTTTAATTAAAACTGGCAACACTGAGAAAGATCACCCCAAAGAAAAAAGTAAATTAAACAAGTCGGGAATCGAACGCGCATTCCCGATTCGAGATGCCACCGAGGAAATTTCAATAAATCCACCCCTCGAGTTTTCAAAGGGTTCTGGGAGCAATTTTGATCAAACTCAAAATAAAAGTCGAGCTTGTTGGCAGATTTTCCTGTTATAGAGGAGGTATTTTTTGGCCTGTCTGTTTGAACGGTTTTTGCCCCACAAATAAGCATATACATATTTAAAAATACATACTTTATAACATTTCTTTTAACTTGACAATTCTAACTATTATACTCATAGGTCATCAGCTATTGACAATTATTTATTGCTTATTTAAATAAATTGTGTAATAATAGAAATCAAATAAAACCTTACTTGACTCAAATCGAGAGAAACAGTAAATCTCCTTTTGTAAAAAAAAACAGTTAATTTAAAACATGGCAACGCGTGCTTCGCGAGTCTGTGATAAGAGTTGGATTACATGGCGCTGATTGTTTAAATTTTTAAACAAAAAAGGGCAATGTCAATAAAATGTCTGTACATTTCAATTGTCAAGAGCCATATGATAAAATGAGACGTTAGATGAAAATATAATTTAAAAGTCTATTGTGATACAAACGGTCTGTATCACACGTAGAAACAGAAATGTCTATCAGTAACACGCTGCAGTAATTACATTTATTATGATTGACGCCACATAAGGATTTAATCATCATTATTCTGTATTTTGGCACGTCCGGACGACCGTTGCCAAAGCCCAGTCTAAGTTGCAGGGTCTTGCTAATATCTAGTTTTTCAATAAAAACATTTTTTTTGTACTTACATCATAGCAGAGTATTGCCCGCCCTGTAGATAAAATAAATGCGCTAAGTTAATTTAAAAAGTTTTAGAAAGTCATATTTTTATTTTACTTTCCTTCATTCCAGGTAAACAATAGTTTACGCCAATAGTACACAGTTAAATAGAACACTTGCACGGTTTAAACGCGAAATAGATTAGTTAAACTTATTTAAAATTACTTTAACCACGGCTCGATGTTTCGGTCGCTTTATAGCAGCCGCGATCTCCCCGAAAAGTGTTTTATTAAAAGTTTATTTAATTTAATCTTAACTTTAATCATGAGTTTAAAATAGTCTAATCAAGAGGATTTGAAAAATAATTAAGTAGTGATATCCTAAAAAATCACATTTATTCACAAGTACAATCACGTAGCGGCGCCATATAACCCCACCCGCTCTAAGAAGGGTGCTTCCCAAATTCCTGATGGTGTCAAGTTGTTATTTTTACAGTCTACCCTCTTTGCACCAGACGACCCCCGGAACATCCCTTAACTTTATTTCAACACGTGCATACATTTAGGCAATTTGTATTATTGGTTTTGATGGGATAAAATGATCGTTGATTCAACATTATATTTGTTAAGTGACGACGAGTTCTTATGAGTTACAAAATATACTTTTTTATTAGTTTTTAGGTAAGGTACATAATTAAAATAGTTTAAGTGAGATTCCACGCGATTGAGTTAAATGACTAAGAGTGAATGAGATCCGAAGATTGCTATCAATCATTCCCCATTCACGATGAACGAGTCCCATTCTATTACTTCCATCTCATTTTCGTCTAACTACGATCCGTCAAACAAATTAAAATCATTAAAAATGATGCGAACCAACTGTGAAAATAAAAAATACACAGGTGTCGCGAGTCAATCGAAGGGGTGAATGACCTTTTGACGGTTAAATAAAAATGCTGGACCACCCACATTGAATACTAGCTTTTAAACGACCGATTTACGAAGAACCTAACGACCTTACGGCTGTCTGGCGCGCGGAGATCAAATTTATCTGGCCGTTTTTGTTCGAAAGCACCAACTTAACGGAGACCCCTAGCGGCTAACGATTAGTTCTACGGCGTGGTTCTATGAAATTGGTCACTTGAACCAGTCTAAATTTTTCAGTGCCAGACGATATAGTATGGATACATGGGTTTTCGTTGCTGGTCGGTTATATCATGTAGGTTGTCTAGGCCACACACGTTAAACCGCAAATAAATAGAAGTGTTGAATAATTGTTTTGAGTTGTATCGTTCAGTGGTTGTAACTTTACAATCCCGTTACAATTCGATCATACTAACTCAATGTAATGTATAAAACTGTAACAATTTGATAATAAACTCAGGTAGAAGAGTGTTTTAACTTGTTGTTATGTTGTGTTTAACTAATAATAATAAAAAAATATACTTTATTTAAACTATGGCCCGACGTTTTGCAATTTTAAACCGTTAAAAGTGTTTTATTTAAATGTCTACTGTCTGTAGTGTACACAAGTAGTACACAATTAAATAAAACACTTTAACGGTTTAAAACGCGATATATATTAGGTAAACTTATTTGAAAAATATTTAAACTAAGGTCCGGCATTTCGGATGCTTTGCAGCAGCCGTAGCCGTCAGATAAGTTAAACTATAATATTCGCGTTTTAAACCGTTAAAGTGTTTTATTTAAATGTCTACTGTCTGTAGTGCACACAAGTAGTACACAATTAAATAAAACACTTTAACGGTTTAAAACGCGATATATATTAGGTAAACTTATTTGAAAAATATTTAAACTAAGGTCCGGCATTTCGGATGCTTTGCAGCAGCCGTAGCCGTCAGATAAGTTAAACTATAATATTCGCGTTTTAAACCGTTAAAGTGTTTTATTTAAATAAAGATGTACTACTTTACCAAACGAAGTTTGTACGGCATCAATATTATAACGGATTTATTTGAACGCCAACCTCAGGAAC